CTCTACCACGCCTGGGCAAAGCTCAGCCACACGACGTCCCCTTGGCTTCCAGGACTTCAGGGGGACCGGGAAGCAATGCAGCTGGCAACCATTGCCTTACAGGACCCCCTTCTTCTGGGAGCGTTGAGGGCCAGGGGAAGCCGGGGAGAACGCCGCTCATGAAACACTATTCCCCAAAGATACGCTCTTCTGTGGTGGACTCCTCAACATGTGTAACCTGTGATTCTCACTCACCTTGTTTCCCAGGACAGAGGGAACAGTCTGGCTAGAGCAGAGATGGCAGTACAGAGACCTAGCCCATCTGGCAATGAAGAAAAGGACCAAGTAACTATATCTTGCACCCCAACGAGGGGTTCTCTGTGCACCTCATCCCCACTCTCCAGCATGGCTTCCCCCATAGTTGGCTGCACCTCACGTGTGGTGACTTTGCAGGCCAGAGTTGGGAGGAACCTCACACACACCCCCACAATTTCTGTGACACACAATCAGCTCAGACAGGAGGATGGAGCAACATTTACAAACCAAGCGACGAAATGAAGAAATATATAAATAGATATATAAATATAACTGTGTTTTTATGCTTTGTCATGAAGGTCTGTAAAAAGGAGAAAAAAAAAAAAAGAACCAATCCCCAATTTTCTAAAAAACCCAAGAAAACAAAAACAACAACAAAAAAAGAAACCCACACAAAATAATAATTAAAAAACCCTACAAAAACAAAACTCCAAGTCCCATCCCTCCTCGCCACCTGAATGGCAGACAGTTCCTCTGACGTTTGATGCTCCTCTTTCACTCTAGGGTTTTGTTTCCTTTCTGTTTTGCACTACAATGGGATGGTGGTATTGGAAGGGATTGGATGCCAGCTCCACCCCACCCCCATCGCCTCCTGCCCCTTTCCCAAATCCCATCTCTGGGGAGCAGTGTGAACAAGTCACATCTGACAAAGTTACCAAACACATCAGTCGACAAAAAAGCACTCCGAGTCAACAAACGTTTTCCATGTCACTGGTTGGCAAACAAAGAAAACAAGCCCAGCTGCGCTCTAACTGCGCTGTGTGGTGGAAAGTGTGGGGCTTCATGTGGGCCCATCTGATTGCCCTCTGGACAGCTGAGACTGAGATGGACAAATTCAGGATTGGCTGGGCTAATTGCTTGGTTCCCTAGCCCTTGGCCTCTGCTCCTTTTACCTTGACCCCTGCACCCGTGACAACTTCAGTTTGCCCACATCCCAACTTTCACAATTTCAGAAATGCCCAACACCCATTCTCCAGATTCCCGCTGCTGGTGACAACAGCCTCATCATCTGTGCCCAACACCTAATTTCCTAACCACTATAGCTTTGCTATATGGGCCCCCTTCAATTCCCAGTCCATCTGCTCATACATCTACTAATTTATAGGCCTCCATTCAAATCCATATGCCTGCATCCTACCAGCCAGAACAAACATACAGCCCTATCTTTTCATCTTCAGTCCTATATTGTGCACCCTAATATTTACTCCTTATCCTAAATGTTCACCTGATGATTCTCTAGGGATTCTCTGCTCTTTTTGGTTCCCAAGTGACTGGTAAACACTGTTCTGCAAAAGGCTAACTGTCAATAGAAATGCTTATTGCTCCTGTATTGTCAGCAAACTCATAAACTGTTCCTTGCACTGACACTTCCCAAACAAATACTCAAAAGAAAACACGAAGGCAACTATAGCCTGTCCCCAGGGCATCAAGTCTGCCAAAGTAGATCCTTGTTGTTTTAGAGAGGTTTCAGATAAAACTCACAGGCTATCGTCCATGGGCAAAGACAGGATTGAGAATCAAACCCCTGAAGGGCACAAAAGTGAACAGCGGAGCAATCTGTACAGCCCACATTGTGTATAAAATCCAAAGTTCCAAGCCTCAGAGGAGATGTGGTTGTGGACTCGGTATTCTGTCTCCAAGTTTAACTTGTATGTATGAAATCCATCATCAGTAAACAGCTGTGTTGATCCCAAAGGCCCCTGTCACCTAACACTTTTAGCCCTTGCATGGCTCTAGCTGATTATAGGTCTGTGTCTTCTTTAATGGGGTGCCCAAATGATAAGGGTATTTGGGGGGGATGTTTACATAGAAGATATAGAGCTAAAATCTGTTCCTGTACAGAATAAAATCAAAGAGGTTACTCCTGATCTATTGAAAGTGTCATTTTGCACGTCTTACCACTGAGTAACCTGCTGCAAATAGCAAAGTTGTTACACCATCACCAAGACCAGAAATTGGCCCGGTATCTCATCTTATTCTATATGAGAAGAAAATTCTGAGTCATTCCTAAAATAATTTGCTTTCACCACTTCTTCTGTTTTCCTCCACAAACACCAGGTAGATGCTGGACCCTGTTAGTGAAGACCCCCTTTTAGTGTGACTTTGCTCTGCTTGTGCACCACTCAGTTACATTCAGCAGGTGGTCAAAGCACGGGCAGTAAATCCCAGGACCAGCAAGGAGAGCCTCCAGAGGAGGCTAGAGACAAGGAGACTGTCATGCCTCACAGTTGGCAACCTGCAGTCCAGGGGGCACCTCAAGAGAAGCTAGCAGCTCAGAAATGCTTATGTTTATAATGGTGTTTTGCTAAACTTGAGACACAAGCTAGGGTGTGAAAGGATTTGGTTGGCTCACTCACGGCTGGCTTGATTTGACGCTCAGAGGGCCACATCCATAGTTGCTGTAACTCCACTGATAAAAGAGGATCCCCACCAGGCACTGGATTGGTCTGGAAAGTTCATAAGTATGGCAAGTAGTTCGATCAGGAAAATTAAAAGTAAAGCAGAATTATGCAATGGACTGGGCAGTCTAATCCTCTTCCACCACCATCTGTAGACCCCTATGCGAATGTACTGAATTACATTTGCCAAAGAGTTTCTTGTGTTGGTTGTTTTGATTTACAGTCAGTGGATACATTGTAAAGCAGTATTATAGCTGAAGTCTAGTAGCTGACATGGGGATTTATGTGGTAATATTACGCAGAAGAAAACCATCAATATTCATATAGATTCCATCAGACTGGACTATGCAGGAAACGCAAAACTTCTACCAATTATTTAATATTATGTTATTTGCAAAAAAACCAGTTGCTGCTTTGTAGGAAGATAATGTGTGTAATGTGAAGGCAATTCCTCTTGTATATAAGTTCATCTCCATCTTCATCATGGTAGTTATTAAAACAGCCTCGACTCATCCTGTAGATAAGGAACACGCTGTCTGTACTGTGGAAGTCTTGTTGTGCTCACCGAAAACAAAACAATGTGTTTAATAAAGCACAGCACAAATCCAGAACTTGAGGGAACAGCCAAACCTTGGAAGGACCCCTTCCCCAACAGGCCAACAGTTGCTTTGTTATAGGTGGATTTTTTTTTTTTCTTTCATTTTTCTTTCAAAAGTTTTACAGGAAAAAAAAAAAAGAAAAAGAATTGGAGGGAGAAATCACTATGCAAAATCCAGTGAAGTCTATGACTCACATCTCTCTCCTCCATTCTGCTGTTTCTTCCCTTTTTCCTATTTCTTTCTCACACCCTCCTTCCACTCAGTTTTTATCCCTCTCTTTTATCATTCTTCATTTCCTATGCCCTTTTCTATCTGGAGAGGGAACAGCATTACTGATATGAGAGCAAGTATCTGGGACCTCAAACTCCCCAGTTCTCCTAGTAGCTCTGGAGAACTTTTGTCAAGTCCGATTTCCCCCCGTGCCTCAATCCCAATCTTCTGTAAAATGGGAATAACAGGAGTCCCTAGTTCACAGGGGGATTGCACAGCAGAATTGATTAGCACCAGCTCGGTGCTTTGAGAGCCTGGAAAGAAAGTGTTAAGTATTATTCTGAATAGTAATTGATGTTTCCATTACATTTCTCTCTTTTCCTCACATACCATTCTTCATTTCTTTATCCTTCTTCCTTAGCTCTCCCTTCACTTCTTTCTTCTACTCTCCTTCTTGGCTCTGCTGCTACCTTTGCTTTATCTAATGGACCAAGCAGAAATGTTATGTGACTGGATCTGCTTCTGTCACCATTTTTAAGTGTCATACTTTGCTGGAAGCAACAGTGACCATGGCATTTAAAACTGAGAGCACTTTTGAGTCCTGTTCTGTGTAGCTCCCACACCCTTTTGGCCCAGTGGGGCAAGATGGAGGGAGGGTTGCCCGGGGCAGATGCATTGAAGGTGACACCTTTGTGACCTCTGAATTTGTTGGGGAGGGTTGGTGGCAATGAGTCCTGCTGTGGGAACAGGAAGAAGCCCGCATGCTTTCTGATCCATTGGTAGCAATGATTCAGAGTAAGACTTCAGAATTAATCACAACATGAATGTGAGGATGTTAAATAAACAACAAAGAGAAAACTAAAACCCCTCACACCTTTCTCCTCTTGAGTATATAATTATAAATGCACATAAACTTTATCCTATAGGAATTTTTGGTTTGCTGAACTGTTAGGAACGCTCCATCCCTTTGTCCCTAAGGAAAAGTACCCCTCTGGGAAAAGGAATCAGAATCATAGCTGCCCCCTTTGGCACTGACAAAATGAGGGCTTCTGAGGGACCCCACAAACACCACAGTGTGCTCCTTGGCTGGGCCCAGGACAGTGGCAAACTTGCAAAGCAGGAAAGAGCGACCAAGCAATGACAATTACAGAACTGATGACAAATCCAACTGTAAGGAGCTCCGCTGATGCTCTCCAGGCTAAGCTAGACATGAGACTGTGGAGGGGAGGGGGCCAGTGCCAGGTGCAGGGTCGCATCCATTCTAGGCTGCTGCAGCCACTCTTGGCTTTTCCTCATCGCTTCAGTTCTGTTTGACTCTTTTCTTTTCCCTTTTTGTGCACATGAGAAATAAAAACAATTTTTTTTTTTTTGTACGTCATTTTTTGTGGCTTCTGGCTTGTTTCTCCTTCCCCCTCTCTCTCTCTCCCCGCCTCAGCGCTTCTCTCTCCAGTGGATTCTCC